ATTCCTGAAACTACTAAGCTGATTCCTGCCACAGGGCTTTTGGATGTGCTATTCCTTCTACCTGAAACATTCTTTCTCTGTACTTTTACCTGGTTTATTCCCTCGCATCACTGAAGTCCTTAATGCTATTTTCTCAGAGAGGCATTCCCTCACTACCCTTACCTAAAACGAATCCCTCATCATTCTCTTTCATGTTATCCTGCTTTGTTTTTCTTTACACAACTTGTGGTTATCTGATATGTTTATTGTCTGTCTCCCACACCAGAAATGAGGGTAGCTACTTTGTCTTGTTCACTGCTGTATTTCCAGTACCTATAATAGTGCCTAGCATGTGGTAGGCTTCCCAAAATAATTGTTGCATACTTAATATATAGTAGAAATATTAATATATAATTGTTTTTAACATTCTTTTCTATAACTGATGGCACTATATGTAATATAATACCACATTTCAATGTGTTTAAAGCCTATAAATAACATACTGGTAGATAACCTGGAAGGAATGTAAAAATTGCTGTTGTACATTTTGTATTCTATTTTTACTGAGTACTAAGTGGGTAGAGTATACCCTATTGTTTACTTTTGAAGGGGTTGCATGACATGAATGTTTTGGGTATTCCCTGCCTGTTTGCAAAAAGTAATTGGGGGCATCTGGGAGTATGAAGAACGGTGTTGAACAAAAGAGATTGTTTTGCTAATTCCAGAGCAGTAGTGCCTTTCAAGGCAGTGCATTGCTCTTCAGCTGCAACATCATTGGAATAGAATATAAAGTATATTTAGCAAGAACTATTTGACTTGTTTCAAGAAATATTTACTAATTGATGACCTGGGGGATTTTATTTAAAGGACTGCAAATAAATAATTTTAGTGGGTTGTTTTTAAAAAAGCACGTTGGTGGTTTGTTGGATAGAATTATAAACTAATAACGCTGTGATCTCAGCTCAGGGATAAATTCTGAAATTTGTAAACTGCTACATGAATTAACACTGTAAACTTAGATGTTGCTATGGTAGTTCAAAACTGAATTGTCTATCTTTGACAGTGTGGCAGCAAACTTGTTAACCGGATGAACTCAGGATGTTATATAGTAAAATCATCTAAAAAGGAATTACGGGGCCTGGCGCTATGGCTCAGGCCTGTAATCCAAGTGCTTTATGAGGCTGAGACAGGAGGATGACTTGAGCCCAGGAGTTTGAGGCCAGCCTGGTCAGTATAATAATGAGATCCCCGTCTCTACATAAATAAATAAATAAATAAATAAATAAATAAATAAATAAATAAATAAATAAATGAAAATAATTATGCCCTAGAATAACTGCCTATGTTTTTACAAGAACTGTAGATTTATTTAATGTATTTTATAAATATCAATAAATAATGTTAGTATGTAACCTTATTAGGGATGCAAATATAATCATGCTATATAAACCTGGATGTTAAAGTGGTATTTTTAAAAAATAAATCCTACCTGTATTTCATTTCCATACAGTGATTTTCATAATTCAGCATGTTCCTAAATTCCTTGTGTATGTGTAGAGGACATGACTGACATCACTAGTGGAAAACATGATGCATCTGTGTGATTCAAAGCCCTTTTGTATTAGTTAGTACAAAGTCATCTTCAGAATTCTTTATAAATTACTCCACTGTAGGACATGTTATTTGCTAGTTATTACCTAAATTGGATTTGATTCACCACCAGGTCATAGTCTGATTGTACTATTATTGAGCTATGTATTAATCTCGGTGTGTAACCTGGCAGGTTCGAGACTCTCTTTATTGTGCTGAGTCATGACTATACTCTAGAAGCTAGGAATAGGCATTTATACACGTTGGACGGCCTTCTTGAAATAAGATTAGTTATCCAGGAAGCCAGTGCTCCTGAGTCATATCCTGAAACCACAGATGGAAACATGACAAATTAACCATTGAAATGGAGAATTATAGCCTAGGGATAACTAGTATGAGAGGAAATTGACCTACGCAGGGTGAGACTACTTGAAAGAGAGTATTATATTTTAAAAGGAGTATGACTTTTTAGAATCAGATATTGGCATTTTTATTGGTTAAACTGCATGACCTTTTGACACCTGAGGCCCAAATGCCTCATTTGTAATATTGGGATGATAATAATCATAGTCATAAAAGTTTGTAAGGCTTAAGTGAGCTAATCTATATAAGCAGCTGGCAGAGAGCTTGACACCTATTATTGTTGTTGTTTTCCAGAGTCACCTGGCAAAGCTGGTGACAGAGCCTAGATCTCCTAGTCACTGCCTTTCATGTAAGACTATATCAATTTATCACTTCATTTGCAAATGACATTTAAGTCTGCAATCTCACTATATTTCCGTTTTTCTCTCCTCAGATTCGACTTGCTTTGGCCAATATTTTTAGATACCTTAAACAATGTGAATAGAGAGTATCAAATTTTATAATTGATTTTTTTTCATACAAAGGCAACAGAAACAACATGCCCATAGTTTCTAATGTATGTTTTTAAAAGAAATCATTTTAGTGACATTGCAAAATTCCATTTGTCATTTTCTAGTAAATAATTGTCTTTGCAAATTGGTCACTGTCTTTACAATAAAATAAAACAAAAACCCTGTGGTCATTTTGGATACCTTAGAAGAATCTTTTTTTCCCCTTTGTCAACAGAGAGAAGAAATGTTTCTAAAAAACCATATTATGTATTATTAGTCTTGCAAAGTTTTTCTGTCTCTTCCTACTTTTTCCTATCCTTTCTGTATAGATTGTATCAGCTGTGGGGTCCTGTGCTAGTCATATCACTTCTCTAAGCCCCAGTTTTGCTGTTTGTAAATCTGGAGTACAAAACTTATACACTTACAGACCTGTTAAAAATATCAACAAATTCTTTACAAACTATGAAAAGCTAAACAAATGAAAGAAATTACCTTTTTTAAGGCAAAAATCAGTAGAGGCAGCAAATTGGATCAACAAAGGTAGTAGAAATTGGAAATTAATAATAAGTGTCTAATTATCTACCGTGGACAAGTGTGTTGTGCTGAATTAATGTGTAGGTTGTGGCAAGTTATTTTCAAGTGTTGCTTAGTGGCAATGTCCTCAGAAGCAAACCCCTCTCAAGTATATAGAGCAGTTAACTATTTTTCTAGTGCTTTCACATACATTATCTTATTTAATCTTCAAGACACCCCTGCCAGGCTTGAATCATTACCTCCATTTTATAGATGCAAATTGAGATATAATTTACCTCTTATCACAGTGGTTGAGGCAGGAGTGAAATCCAGATTGATACTTATACCATTGTGCCTTTTGTTATAACAAGCTCCTGGACTATATATGTTACTTGATCAAAAGGATAATTGGTTCTGCCAGCTTTTACAGCACCTTGCTATAATTCCAAATTTGCTTTGGATGGCTTTTGGCCCCACCCATAGCCTCCCCTATCTTGTGACTTATGGAATCTTTGTCCTGGCCCTGTGACTATTTCAGGAACACTTAATATTTTCTATGTGCTTGATTGAAGGACAGTATTAGAGATTCTAATTAATGTCTCTAAAGTAGAGGGGAGAACAAAAGAGGACTTGTGATAACTGCCTATGTTAATCTATTTCTTGAGAAACCATATGATTGGTAAGTACCTGGAATTTCTCCAACAGTGCACGGATTGCAGCCAACTCTTAAAGTGAGAGTGTTATGTTGCATGACTTGGAAGTGGTGGGGAAGCGAGACTGAGAAGAGGCAGTTACTTTAGGTTTGCCATTGCAAAGGAGATTCTCAGTGAGAAACTATCCAACAATAGTGTGATGTAAACTGACAGGGTAGAAATAGAAAGTTGCCCTCCACATTGATCTTATGCACAGAAAATACCTAGTGTGTGGTTACCATCAAGGGCTCTGGTACTAGATTGTCTAGCTTTAAATCCAGGTTTCACCATTTATGGCCTATGTGATTTGAGGGATGCTGTTTAACTTCTGTATGTCTTAGCTTCTGGCCTTTAAAAAGTTAATTTTGTAGAGTAGAGAGTAGAATAGAAGTTACCAGAGTCTGGAGACAGGATAAAGGAGCTGGGATAGGGAGAGGTTGGAAAATGGGTACAATGTTACAGTTAGATAAGAGGAATACATTCTGGTTTCCATTGCACAGTAAGGTGAGTATAGCTTAAAATAATGTGTTACATTTTTAAAAAGCTGGAAGAAAGGAATTTGAATTTTCTTACCACAAAGAACTGATAAACATTTGAGATGATGTATATGCTAATTACCGGGATTTGATCATTACACAATTTATCCATGTATCAAAACATGACACTGTACCCCATAAATATGTACAACCATTATGTATCAATTAAAAATTATATCAAACTTAAAAAGAAAATTTAAACAAATAACATTGACCTAAAAATAGTATATATGTCCAAGTCTGATTGTGAGGATTATATGATATAATGCATATAAAGTGTGTAGTACAGAGCAGTGCCTGGGATGCTGAATCAATACTAGAAGGTATTATTATTATTATGACAGATACTATGACTGTTACCACTTTCACTTTGTATCTTCTGCAAGATTTAGCTGGGATAGTATCTGGCAAAATAAACCCCAAAGATGCTCAATGAATGTTTATTGAATTATTACTCTGCCAGAAATATCATGATGATAAAACTGTGGCAGGCTGGATGGTTTGGGTGGTGACAGGAGGTAGAGGAAGGTTGGAAGTTAGGGAGATGCTTCTAGTGAAATAGGTGCAGGATAGATTCATTATGATAAGAACATTTATTTGTTAGTTAGTGGAAAGGATTCAGGAGATGCGGTTTTCAGTCCCAGCTCTGCCACCAATAAGTTGTGTATACTTGGCCTACTTATCTTTCTCTCTGGTCATTTCCTTATTTCTAAAAATGAGAAGCTGAGACTAGATGAATGGTTATGAACTGTGGTCTGAGAGTGTGAAATATATATTAAAAAAATTTAAATCTAATATGTCTGCATTTGCTTTTCTAATCTTCCTTTTGTCTTCAGGTTCTGCTCCTCCTTGTGAAAAACTCAGGTGTTCCGGGTAACCACATAGTGTATAAAGCCCCTCACTGCACTAGTGACAATTCTGTAACCCAGAAGCCGAGGAGAGAATTGTCTTTGTGTTCATTTCGGTAAGAAATTCTTGGTTGGGTCCTGGGTGTAATTCAGCAACTACTTTTGTGGGTTTATCCATAAGTGATGCTAGAAGCTAGCTATCCCATTTTCCACCTTTGCTTAGGTATATTGATCTATCTGATCCATGAAATGGTATTTGATAGCCTGAGTCAGATTTCAGTAGCCTATAAATGGAATAAAATCAAATGATTTTTAACTCTTTATTTAGCACTTATTCTATACATGACACAACACTATGAAATTTTAAAGAACAGATCAATAAGGGAGAGAAAATTTTGTTAGAATCGCTCTGAGAGCATTTTAACGGCAGCCTGATTGCCTTAGTCCTTATAGGTAATATGGAAGGTTTTCTCTTGGTCAGACCTATGTCCTTGAGCCTAGTAATAACCACTGTGTTCATCTTAATCTATGAGAGTAGCTCTGTGGAAGATCTGTAAGCTTCTGGTAGCCAAATCTACCCAGTACTTACCAATGCATTAATGGGCAGCCATGCGCTGGCAAGTAGAGAGAGAGGAATTGGGGAGAAAGAGAGATTTATTGGGCCTCAGTGAGAGAAATAGCGTTCTCTCCTGATTTTATGAGGCACAGAATTTTAAAAATAACATGGTGTTGATTCAGCCTGGTTAATTAATTAAAGGAAAACTTAATCACTGGGGTCCCAGAGGAAAAACTTTCATAATCCTGAGTCAAGCCTGTGGGATCCAGCAGAATAGGGTGGAAGTACACAGGACTGGGAATTATGAGATCTCTGTCCTAATTCCAGCTTTGTTACTAACTTACTGTGTAATCTTGGGCAAGTCTGAGTTTTACTTCCAAGTTTATATATGAGAATTTGACTACCGTTGTCTCTGATATACATACTGGCTGTAACAATTTGATCCTAAGATTCTATAAAGTAGCCATTGAAGCTTACCAATGTTACAGTATTACAGATGGATCAGGTAGGAGGAAGAGGATGGGGTGGAAGAGAAGGTCTATCCTACTGAATTAATCTATACATGGGAAAAGAAGGGGAGTCCCTAAATGTAGGGATAAGTGACTTTTAATCCTTTACTTTCTGTGAAATTGTTGGTTCCAGAATATAAATTCGAAGAGAATTATATGGGACTGGGAGTAGTAATTTTTCTTTTAAAAGTAAGGAATTTTTTTAATTGAGTAGGTATTTGACGGCATGAATCCTTTAAAGTCTGATCATAAAACCAATATCCCTCAAGGATAGAAAGATCGCTAAATTATATTCTGTGGCAATGAAAGGCGGTTCTAGTTTTAAAAAAGAGATGAAAAGTGTAGATTTGCTCTTTAGAAAGATCCCTTTTGCAGTATGTGGTGTAGAAAATGGATCAGAGGCAGGAAAGACTGACTAAGGAGATCCCTGCTGGTAAGATCCTCCATTTAGGAAGTGGTAGTGGTAATGGAGAGATTGGATGGGAGAGGAGTTGAGGAAGACTCCCAGATTTCTAGTTTGGGCAACTAGAAGGATGGCAATGCCATTTACTAATACTAGAAACACAGGAAAAAATGGAACAACAATTAGACAGAAATAAAAAATTTTAATTAAAAAATTAATTAAAAGAAAAAAGGAGAAATGAACATTCGTGTGCATGTGTCCTTATAGTAGAACGATTTATAGTCCTTTGGATATATACCCAGTAATGGGATTGCTGGGTCAAATGGAATTTCTATTTCTAAGGCCTTGAGGAATCGCCACACTGTCTTCCACAATGGTTGAACTAATTTACACTCCCACCAACAGTGTAAAAGTGTTCCTTTTTCTCTACATCCTCTCCAGCATCTGTTGTCTCCAGATTTTTTAATGATCGCCTGGGGAGAAATGCCAAATGTGGGTGAAGGGGAGAAAGGAAGCAAAACACACTGCCATGTGTGTACCTATGCAACTGTCTTGCATGTTCTGCACATGTACCCCAAAACCTAAAATGCAATAAAAAATTAAAAAAAAAAAAAAAAGAAAAAAGGAGCAAAGAAGAAAGTCAATCGCCCAACAGGAGGCGCCAGAGCTAAATAAAGTTTCTTTTTTTTTTTTTTTTCTTAAGTAAAGAAATATTTATGAAGAAACAGCGAAGTTTTGAACTATCTGAGGCTTCGGTTTAGGTTCTGAGCTTTTTCAGTGGTTAAATAACTTTCTATTTTATTTATTTATTTATTCATTTATTCATTTATTTTGAGACAGAGTCTCACTCTATTGCCCAGGCTGGAGTTCAATGGCACGATCTCGGCTCACTGCAAACTCCGCCTCCCGGGTTCAAGCGATTCTCCTGCCTCAGCCTCCCGAGTAGCTGGGATTACATGCGCACGCCACCATGCCTGGCTAATTTTGTATTATCAGTAGAAACGGGGTTTCACCATGTTGGCCAGGCTTGTCTTGAACTCCTTACCTCAGGTGATCCACCTGCCTCAGCCTCCCAAAGTGCTGGGATTACAGGCGTCAACCACCACTCCCAGCCGATTTCAAATACTTTTTTTTCCCCTCAGAAAAGAGAGTATTTGACAGTTTTTTATTTGTTGCTAGGGAGACGGATGATAAACACCCCCGGTGAACCAGTAAGAACACTGGTGGGTCTAATGGTCTTCCAGATGAAGCCTATCTGAAGTCACCATAACCTGGTCAGGAGAAGTGTGTGTCGGTGGGGAGGTGAGGAGCTAGCTACCAGGGTTTTTGTTTTGCTTTGTTTTTGTTCTTATAAGTAGGATGAGACTAGAATCCTTTCTTTCCAAATACATTGGTTCCTAACTTGATTATTTCTGTTTCCACGGTCTGAGGTGGACAGTTTTCCCAATTCTTGGTAGAAAGCACACAAAGAGCTTTCCAAAATATTTTTAATCACGTTTAGTTTGATTATTTGATGTAAGATAAAGTTAAAATGTTACATTTTTCCTTCATAGAGAGACAACATCAAGATATTAAATCTTGAAGAAATGGCGTTCGTTTGCTTGGCTGCCGGATGCTTATATAACTTTCTGATAAGCACAACATTTGGCTATACTTTATCTTCAGACACCAAGATAGAAGGTAAAGGGATTTTAATGAAATAGTTTTTAAATTAGGAAAAGTAAAATTAAATGGATTTTAATAGAAAATTAACTGTCTTTTTTTTTTTTGAGACGGAGTTTTGCTCTTGTTACCCAGGCTGGAGTGCAATGGCACGATCTCGGCTCACCGCAACCTCCGCCTCCTGGGTTCAGGCAATTCTCCTGCCTCAGCCTCCCGAGTAGCTGGGATTACAGGCACGTGCCACCATGCCCAGCTAATTTTTTGTATTTTGAGTAGAGATGGGGTTTCACCATGTTGACCAGGATGGTCTCGATTTCTTGACCTCGTGATCCACCCGCCTTGGCCTCCCACGAAAGTGCTGGGATTACAGGTTTGAGCCACCACGCCTGGCCAAAAATTAACTGTCTTTTTGATCTACCTTATGGAAGTGCATAACTAACTAGTAGATGAATTGTTATTGAAACTATTTCAGGAGGTCCATGAACAAAAGCTATGTACTTACTAGTCACTTTCATGTATAAGGTAACTGATGTTGACACACGTTTTGTGGGATAAAAGCCAAATTAAAAGACATTGTTCATACCTTTTTGTATAGTCTTTTATTAACAGATTAGATATCTGAAACCTCATTGCCTGCTACTAAACTAATTGTAACGATTTCTTAATTACTGTCCTTAGCTTTTATGATAATTAGATAAATTTAAAAAGGTACAGAAATGTAACGTGAAATTTAAAAATAATTATACAATTATTAATTATTATATGAACTTTTTAATTGAAGAAGGTAATTTGAACAATGCATTTGACAAAGAATTTAACCTTAAGTGTTGAAATGATAAAATTGTCATTTCTTCCTCAATAGAGACCTTGTTTATAGGTACATGGGTGTCGCAGGTCAAACCATGACTGGTGCCACCATTTCTTTTCTGTGGATTCTTTTTCTCACCTCAATAACTATTATGAAATACTATACATGAACAGTGTAATATAAATGAGAGAAAATTATTAGCAAAAAGGCAACATGAGGGCAGTACTATAGTACTACTAGATTTGCTAGTAGAAAAGTTTATAGAATTATTGAATGCACATGAACATATATATTATATATAATAACATTGATATTACATTATAGATATATAATAATCATATATAAAATTATATAATAAAATATATAAAATTATATGTTTAATTTGTTTTATTGCTTTTTAAATCATCTGATGGAGTCATTGCCTCCTACTGCACCCCTCTGAAATAGTAATATAGGCTGATTCCCCATATTACACAGCTGAATCCTTCTCTTGAATCCTTCCAAAGAGTGGTCCTGGTTTGCATACTCTAGAGATAGCACTAAACTTTAGTTACCTAGATAATTCAGTTAACTAGAATGGATCAACAAGATCTGCATGTTCCCCAAATTGTTAAGACACTTTGCTATGGAGGTCATATTTCATATTTTCTATCCCTGTTTTGTATTTGCGACATTATATACATATGATAAACATTGAATTAATATTGATTTGTTATTGCTATTAGAGAGATTTTTGTAATAAAATGTTCCCATCTTGGACCAAATTCTGGCATACATGACCACAGAGATAAAGCTGCATTGAAGTATTTGCTCCCCTGAAAAACTAATACCCAGTGAGGCAAAGTCACATTTTGCATATGTGGTTTCTCAAAGAAGGAAGAATTATATACCAGTAATCTAGATTTTTTTACAGTCTCATTGAGATATAATTTACACAAAACTAATTCTTTAAAAATGTACTATTCATTGGTTTTTAGTATATTGACAAAGTTGTGCAATAATTACCACTGTCAAAGTCCAGAATAGTTGCATCACCCCTAAAAAGAGGCCCTAAACCCGTTAAGAAGTCACACTGCATTGTTGCTCTCTCCAAGCCCCTACCAATCATGAATCTACTTTCATTCTCTATGATTTTGTCTATTTTGGATATTTCATAGAAATGGAACTATGTCAATATATGGTCTTTTGTGTCTGGTTTCTTTCACTTAGTATAATGCTCTCAATGTTCATCCATGTTTTAGCATGAATCAGTACTTCAGTTCTTTTTATGGCTGAATAATATTTGATTGTATACATGTAGCACATTTTGTTTATCTGTTAATTGGTGGACATTTGGAAGCCATCTAGATTTAGCAATCTTTGTCATAAAATACAGAAAAAATAAAAGTGTTTTATTGATTTTATTTCAGGTTACCCTCCTCAGGATTTTGAGATAGTGGATCCTGGATATTTAGGTTATCTCTATTTGCAATGGCAACCCCCACTGTCTCTGGATAATTTTAAGGAATGCACAGTGGAATATGAACTAAAATACCGAAACATTGGTAGTGAAACATGGACAGTAAGTAAAGCATGCATTTACGGTATCAGAGCAATCATCAAGTGTTATTTTGTGATTCCTGACTTTAGTGTCCACTCCAGTTCCCACATCTCAATAGTTCTAATTAGGATATAAAAAGCTTCCACATCTGCTTCTGTCTCCTATTCATCCTGCTATATCTGTCTTCACCCCATCCATTGTTACAACTGCCATTGGAAGTACGGGAAAAAAAATACTTGGTCTCATGCCATATGAACTTGAAGAGCACTTCACTAGAAGAGCATTTTATTCTTGGATATGGGTCTTATACATGCTACTGAACTGTGAGCTTTTCCACTGTAGGAGATAAGGCTTATTTATCTTTGTACATTTCCCACAGAGGGTGGCAGGATTATGGTTCATTGTATATATTGTAGTAAGAGCTCAATGAAAATTTTTTGAATTATTAACTACTTACATACTCAACAAGTACATATATTCAAAGATTTCTGTTGTAGATGGCATTCTTTACCTCCCTAATTCAGCTAGATAGTTTCAATAGACTAGAAGATTCAAATCAAACATTTATTGATCAACTTTGTGCTAGACACTCTACTGGGTATCAGGAATATAACAATAAATAATAATGCTTTTTGTCCCCCAGAAGCTCACGATTTGCCTGGCTTTCTCTGGTTACTTCCAGGGTTTTACTTTATGTATTTCCTGAAGGTTTCATATTATATGTGAAATGTGACGTAATTTGCCAAGTAATGGGCATATGGCACATGAAAATTATCTATTTGATTCCAAGCAGTTATAGCTCTAGTTCATGCCATAACATTTTTTTCCCTCCCTAAAGTGTTTGTTTTTATTTGGAAAGAAATGTTAAGATTCAAATGATCTTATCAAATGATATGACATACAGAGATGAGCTCTGCTGGAAATGTATCTGTAGCATTGTATCAAATAGTCATTAGGACTGTCTTAGATATTGGGAATTCTCCAGGGTATTAATGATTTATTAGTCTTATTAATATAGCTCACTGTACCGCGGAGGTTTCTAAGCTTGACTTTGTCTCATCTTTCTATGAAACAGACCATCATTACTAAGAATCTACATTACAAAGATGGGTTTGATCTTAACAAGGCCGTTGAAGCAAAGATACGTACACTTTTACCACGACAATGTACAAATGGATCAGAAGTTCAAAGTTCCTGGGCGGAAACTACTTATTGGATATCTCCACAAGGTTAAAATAAAGCTCTCTTTTCATATTTAATACTATCAGAACAATTCATTTGGGAATAAGTCCCTTATGTACCAGGTTTTATGTATAAGATCCTGTGACACTGTAGCAAAAAAATAGAATCTTTCTTGTAGTTGGTGATTAGCCTTTAAAAAAATTTTAAAACAGCAAATACCCTTGGCAAAACCTACATCTTATTTTATTGATATAGCTCCCAGTTTTGGGGTCATATTAGTAAACAGTCATGAGTGTTTGTTCATCTGCTCAGAGCATCCTAGAATAATCAATTTAGTACTTTTGGATATGCTTATACTAATATCAGTAAATAAGCCCTCAAATGTTTCTTTGATTTTGCATGTCCCTCTTATAGTGAAGTGATTTCCAGTAATTTCCTTTTGAAATAATCCTGATTATGTTGATTGCAAAATAAAATGGAGAGATCATAGGAACTGAAGTAAAATTGCGTAATGATTTCACAAATGATTCATCACCAAGCCTTTCAAGGATTCATGATTGATTTGTTCCTTAGGAATTCCGGAAACTAAAGTTCAGGATATGGATTGTGTATATTACAATTGGCAATATTTACTCTGTTCTTGGAAACCTGGCATAGGTGTACTTCTTGATACCAATTACAACTTGTTTTACTGGTAAGTATTTTTATAATTAGAATTCCATATTTAAAAATATCTACTCAAATTAATCCGTAGTATGAATAACTATATTTTCAATAAGTTAAATTAATTATACTTGTTAGAGTCGTATTTATGATGGTGATTGTTTACAATTATTTCAGGTTTTCAATGGGTGTAAGTGGTTTTAGGATGTAGTTACTGGAAAGTATTCTATGGGTAATATAAGGAATGCAATAATTGTTTCTGTACTGGGTTAATGTTTATCCTTTAGATACAGGAAGTTAGAACCTAAACAGTTTTGGCATATTTTGTATTCTGGTCTTTTTAAAGATTCAGTTATCTATTAAACTGGATCTTTTTTCTGACTCCCTACCTTTGCTAGCTGTCAGTGAAGCTTTTAAACTTGGCCATTGTGACTCATGTATCTCCTTCATTTCTTGATTGTTTCAGGATAACATGATCACCATGTTCTGACACTCCTTTGCAAGGTTGCACATCTGTTAAGTGCTTACCATCTCTGCCGTAAGAGCTGTGCTTTAGGCTTCCCTCATTCCACACCTGGATGATTGACATTGCTTCCCAAATGATGGTTGCTCTGCTTCCAATCTCTCCCTTTTTTATTCATTTGTGCACACTGTGGCCAGCTTTATCTTCCTACACTACCATTTTCGTATACCACTGTCTTGTTCAAAAACCTCCCATGTCTACTCATTGCCGCAGGATAAAATCTAGGCTGCCATATCATCTACTATTACCAACGTGAATGTTCCACTCCATTAAAATCCATCTATACATTTTTTTCTCACTTATGTTACTGCCTTTTATACCTTTGTTTGCATTATCTTCTGGAATGCCTTCTAGCTTTATCTTTCTTTCACCGATTTTTATTAAAGCTCATCTGCTCCCGAGTTTCATTAACTTTTAATTGTTCATGTCAGCTTCTGTTTTGTCTTTCTCAAACTATTACCTTTTTTTTTTTTGAGACAGAGTCTTGCTCTGTCACCCAGGCAGGAGTGCAGGGGTGCGAGCTCAGCTCACTGCAGCCTCCACCTCCCAGGTTCAAGCGATTCTCATGCCTCAGCCTCCCAAGCAGCTGAGATTATAGACGTGTGCCACCACGCCTGGCTAATTTTGTATTTTTAGTAGAGATGAGGTTTCACCATGTTGGCCAAGCTGGTTTCAAACTCCTTACCTCAAGTGATCCACCCACCTCAACCTCCCAAAGTGCTGAAATAACAGGCATGAGCTACCATGCCTGGCCCTGAACTATTATTTTTTATAGCTCTTAATGATTTATTGTCCAGATGACATTTAAATTTTTCTCATATATATGTGCTTTGTCTCCTGTCAAATGTTTAAGGAATTGGTGGGCATGAATTGTTTCTTATGTCTTTCTTGACTACCTCCAAAATTCTATACTCATAGCAGATTATTACTATTTATTACATAAATGAAACAAGTGATAACATTGATAAACTGATAGGTAATTTACTAAATAATGGACAAATCGAGAGAGGACTAAGCATTACTACTGGTGAGTTTTAGTTCCAAATTATGGCATCTTTCTTTAGAAAATAATAATATATAAATGATAAGCTATAAACTATTAACAATCCTGAGATCTGGGTTCTAATCCCTGCTCTAGCATCATTTAACTTTTTGGCCTTGGGCAAGTAATTTTTCCTTTTAGTATCTTTGTTTTCTCATCTGGAATTGGATAGATAAATTTCAAAGATTAATTCAACAAATATTAATCATCTTTTAAATGCCAGGCAGTGTTCTAGATAAAAAGGACAAAAGCTTGAATAAGAGAAAGTCTCTGCCCTCCTGTACATTGTAGTTTATATTTAATATAATTTGATCCTCGTCTTAGTGAAAGAGGGAAGAATAAATATTAACGTTTTAGAGAATGGAAAATAAAGGTATCAGAAGGCTTCCCTGCTGGCACAAAATAAGTCTGTATGAAGTTAAGCTTGGAATTCGAGTTTCCCAAACTCTAATCAGGTGAACTAACCAAGAGACAATTTTTCAAACTCTGCCAAAACTTGGCATAAAGTTAATTTAGTAGAATCCAGATATTTATACTGGCACCTTATCAGCTGCTATATTGGCCTCATTTCAACAGGGATTTGGGCTGCTTTTACAAATGTCATGCTTTGCATTGCAAGCTATTCTTTAGGGAAATAGCTAGGCATTTGTTGCTTTATAATTCAGTAGGGAATTACCCCTAGTTCCTTTTAGTTTTATTACTGGAATGAGGTTAACGTTAAATGATAGGGTAACATTTCTCACTTAAGAGATAAGAAAATTAAACATTTAGTTGCCAAATAACTCCTCCTTTTCTTTTTGTCCTCCTACAGGTGGCTTTTCTGAGGTTTATCTCTTGATGTGTATTGTATCCTCGGGATTTTCATTCATTTGATTAAACATAATATTTTCTAAGTCTGCTTTAAAAAAATGTGCTTTCTTTTAAAATAACTTCACCAGTAAAATAATTTAAAAGGCAAAATCATACAGGATCATTTATATAAATCACAGATTTTCTTACTAGGAATCTTATTCTTTGATTCACAAACACTGTTGATGAGTCAGTATAACCTAAGTACACAAGTAAGAATCCTTGTCTTTGAGATTTTGCAAAGACTTTAATCACATTGTTAGCTCCATGAAATCAGGGACTATGTCTGCTTTCTCTACTGTTTTTTTCCCTAGTGCTTATCATAGGGCCTGGCATATAGTAGGTGCTTAGTAAATATTGTGCATTATTAAATTATTTTTAAACTCACATGGTATCCTAAGACAATTGAAAATGGAGCACCTTGATACTGGAAGAGATTGTGAAACACAGTTCTTACAATGCTTATTTTTACAGGTATGAGGGTTTAGATCGTGCATTACAGTGTGTTGATTACATCAAGGCTGATGGACAAAATATTGGATGCAGATTTCCCTATTTGGAGTCATCAGACTATAAAGATTTCTATATTTGTGTTAATGGATCATCAGAAGACGAGCCTATCAGATCCAGTTATTTCATTTTTCAGCTTCAAAATATAGGTGATGTAAACCAACAAACGACTTCAAATTTATTGTTTCTAGTGAGGCCATTTATAACCACTTAAGAAGGGGAGAGAGAGAAAAAGGGAAGGAAGGAATGAGAGAGAGAGAGAGAGAGAGAGAGAGTGCTATGGAAATGCAAAAAAAGAAAATAGAGAGTCAGCAGAGTGTATGAGGAAGCTTTTATTAAATATGTAAGTATGAAAGATAAGAAATTGAATAAAGGTTGATATCATTTTCATTTTAGAACTCACAATTTTATTTTCCATCTTCAGTTTGTTTGCTACACAGACAGTACTTTTGTCTAGTGTTAGTGATGGAGTAATTATGAATACACTTTTTCCCAGGCCTCAATAGACAAATGGTTGGATATTTACTGAGTCTATATTTTCAGTTGTAATAGTTATGAGAGTGATGGGTTCTAGTGTCTGCCAGACCTGGGTTTGAATCTTAGGTCTATCATTTTTCTAGTTGTGTGACTTTGGACAAGTTAATTAACATCTCTGTTTCAATTTCCTTATTAATAAAATGGGGATAATAGAGGACCACCTCATAGGTTTATTGTGAGACATGAATGAGATTATGATGTTACATCCTTGGTACTTACAGTGTCTGACATAGCATAGAGTTATCTATGACATAGCATAGGTAAGAGTTATCTATTTGTAAAAGTAGTAGTAGTACTGATTGTGGTTGTTGTTTTTAATGCTACAAAATGGAAACATGGTTGTAATTATTTGGGTCTTCTAACTTTTCTCTTGGGCTTAAATATTTGTCAATGGGTGACTTGTCAAAAATGAATTTTCAAAAAAATAACGAAGTTTGTCAATAAACTCATCTTGGTTGGCAAGAAACTTCGATTTTAATACACATCATAGAGAATATTATTGAGCCACTTGGTGTATCCCTGGAGGTTTCTGTTACTAGATATCCCTAGCTTTGGATAAAGGCTACTACTAAACTTCAACAGTCTCCGTGTTGAAATGGTTTCCTTTTGCTTTTCAGTTAAACCTTTGCCACCAGGCTATCTTACTCTTACTCGGGAGAGTTTATATGAAGTTCAGTTGAAATGGAGCATACCTTTTGGACCTATTCCGGCAAGGTGTTTCATTTATGAAATTGAGATCATAGAAGATGATACTACCTTGGTGGTATGAATGCTGCATTTATTTGGAAAAATCATAAATATAGACTTTTAAATAAAATACCAAACATGAGAACCAAAACCAGTTGCATTCACATGAGGCAAAGAACATGATATGTATCTTAGTTCAATTTCCAGAAAGCCAAATAAATGAGTGGATAAAAGTATAATTAATGATACCACTTTTAAAGTTATATAGAACCTCAAAGATTATCTAGTCACTTGTTTTCAACTTTGTGTCAATAAATTAAAGTTGCTGAAGGCCTAAGATGGATTGTGGAGAGGCCTCAAGTAAAAGCAAAGAAAACAAACAAACAAAAAAACCAAAGACCACTTATTGAGGGACAACCAGACAACCATCAGGTCAAAATTACAGTATGACAGGCTTACAAGATAATTGGTTTTACCAGGCAAGAAGGGCTAGCTGGGGAAGTAGGCAATGGTTGCAAGACTAATTACTACCCCCAGCACCAACAATGTGGTGATACCTTTAACCTCTGTATAGTTTGGGTTTTTAAATAAAATACAAATGATATAAGTAAAACATATCACAATTAAAAGTTAGTTGTGATATGTTATTTTTACACATTAGTTTCTAGTGAAGAGAGTGATAGAGAGAAATTGGTGAGCCAGTAGTTCTAATTCATTCATTTCATATACAGATGAGAAAACTGGTTGTTGAATTGACTTATAGATCTCAGGTATGAAAACTCACGATCAATTTATGCTGCTAGGACTAGACCTCTGATCTGATTCCCAGTCCTCTTAAGTCTACATTACATCATGCTGATTCCTAAGATAAGTTATACCAAAGGAAAAGCTAATATATTGGATGAGAAAAATTCTTCAGGTCTTTGAAATGCAAAATCGAAGTAATTGCTTCAGTGATTTTTTGACTCTGAGATCACCCAGCCTTGAGATAGTCTCATGACTGTAACAATTGTTTTGTACCAAGCCCTGAGTACTGTTATTCAGGTTTTATTTCCTTATTCTTATTCCAAGCCCTTAACGTTGTTATACAGATTTTCCTTGTTCTTATTAACAATCAGAATAAGGAAAAAAGAAAAAGCTATATATTAATATATGAACTCTATAGTTTCCATCACATGATGTCTCTGTCTTTTGGTAACTAGTGTACGTAGCATTTTCCAGTTCATAGAATCTGGGAAATTTGTAGTCCACATACTGAGTGTTATAAACACCAAGGCTACCTAGGAATTTTGCCCTCTCACACATGCTGCCCTTCACTATAAGTGATCCGTTATCATTGTAGATATAAAATATAAATAAAGAAGGGAAGAAACAATGATTTAAAAACCCCCATTATACAGAGAGCTAATTACTGCTGGGATTATGCTTTTCTAGTCTTTTGATACATAGGTTTTATGTACTAAAACCAACTTTGAAAGGGACAGATATGGAATCTATCTAGCTGCAATTAAATCAAATAATGGCGTCTTATTTTGTCCTTGACTTTCAGACTATTACAGTTGAAAATGAAACGTACACCTTGAAAACAACAAATGAAACCCGACAATTATGCTTTTTAGTAAGAAGCAAAGTGAATATGTATTGCTCAGATGATGGAATTTGGAGTGAGTGGAGTGATAAACAATGCTGGGAAGGTATGAGCTCAAAGGAGAGTAACTAAATAATGAGCTATTTGCTAGCAAAATTAATTTTCTTTCAGTATATTTTGTAAGACTACATGTGAAAGACTTTCCCATGTAGTCTGTAAACAGAGAGAACAAGTTATCAAGCACCTCAATCGAACACAGATTTATTAAAAGTCTAATATTCAGTGAGGACTATGAATATTGTTATACTACTGTTATTAACATTCTTGTTTTTCTGTCAGTAAAGATAATATCCTAGTTCTTTTGAAGGGATAACAGAAGCATATTTTAATCAATATTTTCTTATGTTTTCAGTATTCAAGAGAACAGAAATCTTAAAGCAAGTATAGATCAGCATACATTTGTTTCTGAGTGTCTAATACTATTCCGAAGGAATATTTTTCAAATTAAGAGGTCATGATTAGTAAAATACATATTCATTCCATTCACTTCCAACACTGATTTAAAGTGATTTATGATAGACATTTAAATTACAGAGCAATATAAATTTAAAAGTCTAAAGAATGAGGTAAAGTATGATTGTGTTTCACAATATATTAGCTTTAAGAGTAGAAATGATTAATAAATGTTTGAAATTGATGGAAATTAACTCAGCATTGCTCTTTTAGGTACACAGATATAGGTGCAGCTATAAGTACATATATTGATGTTGATACAGACAGATACTGGCATATCTATCAATCATTTATCTCCTTTCATAATGTTCTACTATAGTGGAATGTCTATTAATACTACAAATATAGTGGCTTCATTGATCCCTTTCATTCCTCAAATATTTATTAAGCACCTACTATGTATCAGACTCTTTTCAAGCATTGGAGATATGGCAGCAAAGAAATCTCTACCCTCGGGGAATTTATATTTTATACCAAATTGGGTAGAAATAGGCAATAAACAAAGAAGCCTAACAAATTATTTAATCACTGAGGATTATGAGGAAAAAAACAAGACAGGAAATCTCAACCAAGAGATATATGGAATGAGAAAGAAGACTTACTAGTTTTATATTTTTCATTTTTGTCACTGTTTTAAAAAATCAGGAAACTCTAAAGTTATGTCTTGAATATATCTTGTCATTAGTCAATGCATCATATAAAGTGGATATGATGAGTTTTTAGCTATATCCTCAAAATATATATTCTTTCCTGTATTTTACATGCAGTCTTATCAGTGATAGTGATGACTAAGATTTCTTTTGTTTTGAGGGATATCTCTTCTTCTTTTTTTTGGGGTACAGAATCTTGCTCCATCCCTCAGGCTGGAGTGCAATGGCATGATCTCCCTGTAACCTCCGCCTCTCAGGTTCAAGTGATTCTTGTGCCTCAGCATCCCAAGTAGCTGGGATTACAGACATGCACCACCATAACTGACTAATTTCTGTATCTTTAGTAGAGATAGAGTTTCGCCATGTTGGCTAGGCTGGTCTTGAACTCCTGGCCTCAGGAGTTCTACCCACCTCGGCCTCCCAAAGTGAGATTATGGGCATGAGTCACTGTGCCTGGCCCTCTTCATAGAATCATAATGACTTTGAAATTAGGAGCAAAGAATTTATTGAGTTGCATGTGGTCTCATTTCTTTAGGACATTTCTTATTGGATTTTTCAAGTTATAGAAAAATAGGGCAATAATACTTTTGGAAATAAAAATATATCCTCTTCAGGATGATTCTGTATAGGGAAAGCCAGTAGAACTTCAGCAAAGGAGCTTCCTGCCTTCCCACTGTTAATTGTGTATGACAGATAACTTAGTCATTCTTCTGTATTATATTCTTGCAAATCTTATCTGAACGTGAATTTGACTGATAATTTTCTAGTGAAAAACAAGATAGTAAAGATATAAGACAAAGAAAAAGTGGGATCAAGGGAGGTTTGTAGGTGTGTGGCTAAGATTCAAGATCTTTTGTATTACTCCAAAACAAGTGAGAGGTACTATTTGGGGAGGCCAAACTTCATCTACTTTTTAAGTTTGCCTACTGATTGCTCATTTCTTACTATGCAGAAGAACCATTAAAACTCCATCCTTAAAATAACAAACCAAAATTAAAAAGAAAAGAAAAACCTTATCCCTCTCTTTAATCTTTAAAATATGTGACAACTTTTAAAAGGTAACCTTAAAAGACTATTTCCATTACTCATACAGGAATTTTTATTGAAGGATAACTCTTGGTCAATACAGTATCCTATGCTCTAAGTACATGTTTGACCTACTGAGAGTTAAGAGACACAGAAGACATGTTTGTCTAATCACTAGGCTAACATTTTGTCATTTTTAAATGGATAAATCACAAGGTCAAATTTTACACAAAATCATGTCAGGAAAGAAGAATTGTGCTTTGGGAAGTTATTTTTCTAACTGCAAATGAAATATGTCACAGTTCAGTAAAGTACATGTTCTATATAAAAAGTGCACAAATGAAAGGAATGCTATACTCAAGCACAGCTGTGGTATTAATGCACTGGCAAATATGGCAGGGGTTTCCGAGCTTAAGTCACTTCTTCACTATACAATAATTCAGTTTCAAAAACAGTAATAAATATCTAATACTTCCCCTTTTTGTGTGATTTTTAATCCTAGGTGAAGACCTATTGAAAAAAGCTTTGCTACTTTTCTTGGTACCACTTGGTTTTATCTCAATATTTGTTGTATTTATAACTGGTCTACTTTTGAATAAGCCAAACACCTCCTTAGAAATGGTGAGATGTGTAACATTATGATGTTTAGTCTGAGATAGGAGATTTTTAAAATGTTCTGCATTAGAGCTGATGGAGCTACACTTTATAATTTTGCCTGTTCACTGTGGGTGTACAATTGATTCTGTATGGATTATGATGATATCTTCAGAAAATAAAGTAATTAAAAAATTAACCTTTCAATACTACATTTTGAGGTGGATTTACTTTTTTCAAAATCAAACTTTAGAACATGCAATACTATTTGACTCTAGATTGGAGAGTGGCATAAGGAGAGAGTTACAAGAGAAAAGCAGGATTGGGATAAAGAGAAGAGTGAATTGGTCATAAACCAATGGTCATGAACTGAAACATATTACCAGTGTGTCACAGGCACAAGACCACATACAAATAATAAAACATGGTGCCTGCCTTTGGAGCACACACTCAAGCTAAGGCAGGCAGCATCCATACAAAAAAATATAACCTTTGAGATTATTTTAGATGATTGCCATTTGAGTTGTACAGATAATGTTATAGAATTTCAGAAAACAGTAGGGTCACTAGGGGTTGGGGGGCTATAAGGAGGAGCTGTAATCTGGGGAAAAATATATTTTTGAGATAGGGTTTCATTCTGTCACTCAGGCTGGAGAGGAGTGGTGCAATCATGATTTACTGCAGCCTTGGTATCCTGGGTCAAGCAATCCTCCCACCTCAGCCTCCTGGGTAGCTGGGACTATAGGCATACACCACCACAGCTGGGTTCTATCTCTAAAAAATATTTAAAAATTAGCCAGGCATGGTGGCTAATTTTTAATTTTTCTATAGAGATAGAGTCCCACTATTTTGCCTAGGCTGGCCTTGAACTCCTGGGCTCAAGCTATTCCTCCCATCTTGGCCTCCCAACATGCTGGGATTACAGGTGCCAGCCACTGTGCCCCGCTAAGAAAAATACCTCAATGCCATCTTTTCAAGATGGAAACATGAATGTGTATAGAATGCTTCACTGTTTGCTGAATGCTCTTGTGCTTATTCTCTGAGTTGTTAATACTCAGTGAAATAGTTTGTGTTATTAATGATGATTTGTTAATAACACAGTTCTTTCTAAATTCCAGAATTTTTCCATGATGAATGAAGAGTTCATGTTTCAAGAGACATGCTATTGACTCACCAGTTTCCAGTCATGGCCAAATGTTAAATACGAGTCTCAATAAAGTGAATTTTTCCTGCAAATGTTGAATACATCTTATTTAAAAGTATTGTTTTATTTAAATAGGCTTTTGAGTACTCAAAGCCTCAGCTAGTAGTACAGTTTCTGAATTCTATTAACAGTTTCTTTTCTCATAAATTCATTGTAAGAGTGCTGTATGTAGAGAAATCAAGGTATGAACCAGGTTTTATATTTATGATGTATTAATAAAACAATGTGACTTCACAGCTTGCACTAAGTCACAGAGATATTGCCAAATCTTGGAAGATGAGATTCTAGCTTTTGTTATTGTTTGTTTTAAGCTGCACTTGGGATGAAAGTATACATTATCAAAAAATTGTTTGGCTTTAAATGTAACCTGTGAAAAGTACCAGGGAGCAAGAAGTTTGAAATACATTCATAGTCCTAAATATATGCTTTGCATTTCATGAAGAAAAATGGGGGAAGAATGCAGTGCTTAAAAGGTTAAAAGTAATAAAATGATTAGAAATCATATTTTAAAAATGGGAAGTCACAAACTACACAGTAAAAGCTTGAGAGTTTCCTATATTTTCTGATGGGGTGGATTTGTTTTTGGTTCAAGGAACAAAAGGCACAAACCTCTGAAATTAGTAAGAAGCTTTCTAAAAGGACACCCAACCTTCAGAGAATGTGGCACCCTAGGTGTCGATAATTGCTTTAAAACTTAGGGAATAATGGACTCCAATCAAGATTATAGAATATAATCAAGAGCACAGCTTTAATTTGGACTAGTTTCTATTTAGTACTATTCAAAGTAGAGTGGCCATTACCTGGGAGCTTATTAGAATTGCTCCAACCCCAACTTACTCATTTAGCAATTCGCATTTTAAGAGTATTCCCAGATGATTCATTTGCACTCTCAACTTGAAAAGCACTGATTTATAGCAGTATTTTAGAATAAAAAATGTTAAAATAATATAATGCAGAGGTAAGCTCATGGGAAGGGTAGCTACAGCTATGTTCATCATTGCCACTGATCATCTCTAAAAGATGAAAAAAAAAGCTAAAACGGAAGTGTAAACCAGAATATCATCCTTTACTGTAACTTGTAATCAATGATACGATGTAACACCATTTCCCTAAGTAGCCTTGTCCTTGTTAAACATTAAAACTCCTGTGATAGTGTGACTTAAGATGCAATATGATTGGCAATTACTGTCAAACTAGAGCTTGCTGGTTGTTCTTAGTGAGTTGAGGGGTGCAGGGGAGGAAGGAGGAATGTGATGTGAAGACGTCAAGGTGAGGTAGGGTTATGGCAGGCTACCTCATCCTGAGAGGCTGCATGCATCTTGGAAACCTAGTATTCCAATTCCCTTGTTTAGTGCATGTACAACAAGCCCTACTGATTAAAGGAATTCTGAATTCTGTACCATAAACCTGGAAGCCCCAATCAGAATTGCCTCAACAAAATGGAATCAATTGGCACCAAATATGTATAGATTGGACCCTGCACAAAGACCCCTGGAACTCCTGACCTGGTAGATATGTAAGTTTATTAATATTACAATAATGTAAACCTAAATCTTTTTTTAATTTTTAAATTTTTTTATTATTATACTTTAAGTTCTGGGGTACATGTGCAGATCGTGCAGAATTGTTACATAGGTATACACATGCCATGGTGGTTTGCTGCATCCATTCCCCCGTCATCTACATTAGGTATTGCTCCTAATGTTATCTCTTCTCAATTTCCCCACCCCTTGCTATCCCTCCCCTAGCTCCCCACCCCCAACAGGCCCCAGTGTGTGATGTTCCCTTCCCTGCGTCCATGTGTTCTCATTGTTCAACACCCACTTATGAGTGAGAACATGCAGTGTTTGGTTTTCTGTTCTCGTGTCAGTTTGCTGAGAGTGATGGTTTTCAGCTTCATCCATGTCCCTGCAAAGGACATAAACTCGTCCTTTTTATGGCTGCATAGTATTCCACGGTGCATATGTGCCACATTTTCTTTATCGAGTCTATCATTGATGGGCTTTTGGATTGATTCCAAGTCTTGCTATTGTAAACAGTACTGCAATGAACATACGTGTACATGTGTCTTTATAACAGAACAATTTATAATCCTTTATGTATATACCCAGTAATGGGATTGCTGGGTCAAATGGAATTTCTATTCCTAGGTCCTTGAGAAATCACCACACTGTCTTCCACAACGGTTGAACTAATTTACACTCCCACCAACAGTGTAAAAGCATTACTATTTCTCCTTTCTCCACATCCTCTCCAGCATCTGTTGTCTCCTGATTTTTTTAATGATCACAATTGATTTTTTTTGAGACAAGTTCTTGCTATGTTGCCTAAGCGACTTGAATTCCTGGGCTCAAGTCATCCTTCTGGCTCAGTCTCCCAAGTAGCTGGGTCTATAGGTGTGTGCCACTATATCCAGCTGAAGTTAAATTTTTTGAACTCTAATTTTTTTTTCTTTTTGCATTATGAGGGAGTTTCAAGGTATTGAATATTTCCCAAATACTTGGTACACAGACAGTGGCTTAAGTCATTGCCCCCTCCTGCCCATCTGTCTTCTGCCACCTGGGGCTGCCCCAGCCCCTCTCTTTGAATCCTTTCTCCTAGGATTTCCCAAGTCCCAAGATCTAGCAACTAAGGACTAACACCTGGCACAGAAGGAGTCCCTGAGGACTCTACGGTATGGCTAAGTCCCTCAGGACTCTACTGTAGGGCTAAAGTGAGCAAGGATAGCTTCCTGAGTATATGTCCTGTGCAATTACACAGGGCCCCCTGCTTGGAAGGGGCCCAAACATGATTTAATGATCTACTCCTGCCATCTTGAATTTCTTAATAATTTCTGAAGAGGCCACATATTTTACTCTTCATCATTGCCTGGCAATTATGTAGCCACTCCTGAAAGCCACCATCAGTTCTAATTAGTCTTTCAGGTTGTACTAGTAAAACCTAAGCATCATCCATATTTTTATATTGATAAATCAGTAATTGAAACCTTATACATCACTTTAACCAGACATCCTTCCATACATTCACTCATCCTTCAATCAAGTTAAACATTTATTGCACACATACTGGATACCAGACATTGTGCTAGTGTAAATATATAGCTATCCAGACTGAGTTAGTCATCTGCTTGAAAGGGAGAGCAGTACCATTTATCAAGTGTCTGCTATAAGACAGCTTCAGTGCTAGGTGCTTTATATATACTATTTGAATCTTCTTTTGAAGTGAAAGTGACTTTATTAGGAAACTAAAGGACTAAAAGACTGGCTATTCCATAGGCAAAGCAGTCCCGAGGGCTGCTGGTTGGCCATTTTTGTGGTTATTTCTGGATTAGTACCAAACAAGGGGCAGATTATTCATGAGTGGGCAATTCCTGGAACTGAGGGTTGCTCCCCTGTTTTGACCAGATAGGGTAACTTCTTGACGTTGCCATTGCATTTATAAACTGTCACGGCGCTAGCAGAAATGTCTCTTAGCATGCTAATGCATTATAATCCGTGTATAATGAGCAGTGAGGATGACCAGAGGTCACTTTTGTTGCCATCTTGCTTTTGGCAGGTTTTGGTCAGCTTTTTATTGCAATCTGTTTTATCTGCAAGGTCTTTGTGATCTGTATCTTGTGCTGACTTCCTATCTCACCCTGTGACTAAGAATGTCTAACCTCCTTGGAATGCAGCCCAGTAGATCTCAGCCTTATTTTACCCAGTCCCTATTCAAGATGGAGTCACTCTGGTATAAACACCTCTGACATATTTCTTCCTTCCTTTTACAAGGGAACCCTTAATCCTGAGGGTTGTAGAGGTACGAAGATTCATCTTCTGTAACTTCTTCAGGCTGAACAGGGGCGATGATATTTCTGCCTACTAGGATCTCGTATTTGGGGTAGAGAGGAGCTCAGAAAGAGTCAGTATGGTGAGGGCCATTCATAATTCTGAGTTCTGACAAAATGTGATATCGGAAAGATTAATAAGGGTTCAATGTAAGAAACCCTTACACTGAGTAAGCTTATCCTACACCCCTAAACAAAGAGTATGACAGCAATATATTCCACAACAGTAAAGCAAAATAAGTAAAATGACCCCAAGTAATCTAAATAAGAAAGCTTTCCATGAATTGGGCAATTGTTGGAACCAAGCTAATATAGGGTTGCTAGCCGATTATAATACATATAATGTGGATTTTTACATTAGCTGCCCTTCTTGTTTCTTCTGAGCTGCAGAGAATACTGATTGGTTCAAAGAAGTAAATAGTCAAAGTTGCAGAAAAAAAAACCTTAAAAACAACTAATGAGACTATAGTCTAGTACCAGGTGTACCATAGTTTTTGAAACAATTTTTTTCTCTCTCTAGTCACCGATTTTTACTAAAGGCAAATCATGATGAGACTGATTTGCTTTATTATACTTGGCCTGATTATTTGTATAAAGTATAGCAAAAATAATTATTTTTCACATAGGCTTAAAATGTTTTTTTTTTTTTTGAGACAGAGTTTTGCTCTTGTTGCCCAGGCTGAAGTTCAATGACGCAACCTCCGATCACTGCAACCTTTGCCTTCTAGGTTCAAGCAATTCTCCTGCCTTAGCCTCCCAAGTAGCTGGGATTACAGACATGTGCCAACATGCCCTGCTAATTTTGTACTTTCAGTAGAGACAGTGTGTTACCATGTTGGCCAGGCTGGTCTCAAACTCCTGACCTCAGGTGATATGCCCACTTGGTCTCCCAAAGTGCTGGGATTACAGGCATGAGCCGCCATGCCCAGCCTTCATATAGGCTTTTTAAAATTGGCTTTGATGGAACTTCGTTCCATAAAAGAAATCTCAGATAAGACTTTTTTAAAGCTGAGCCCTGGTGTTTTTCCTCAAATACCTGTAAGTTGGGTAAATTCCTTTCCTCTTGAGATCCTAAGATAACTTAGGGCTCCTGGGCCTGTTGGAAAGTGGCATTCTTTACTTACCACAGGTCAGAAACCCTGTACAGGGACTGTGTAAACAAGGTATGAGGCCTGTTTTCCCAAGGGGCTTTTATTGGCTTTATAT